CAAAACAAAAACAACGAAAATGTGCCCTAAAATCAGCCTGAAATCGTGTAACATTGCAGAAATCGGTGGATATGAATAGAGTTTGGCTCATAAAAAAATTGGACATTTCTTCAAATGTAATGAATTTCAAAACTGCGGAAATATCCACATGGCTTTGCATACACGGAAAAAAGGACAGGCAAGTTGATCTCATTTAATGTGATCCAGCAGATGTTCATGGAAAAAACGTTGTATAATTTGGTCATGAAGTATCAGTTTTATGAATGAAATTATTAATAATTGGAGGAACTTTTTATTAATTATAAAAATTGGGAGACTAAAGGTAAATTTTAATGCTGAAATTTATTATGTTGCTATATCCGGTATTTTCTAATGTGGAATAAGCATTTTCTATTGATATATATATATATTTAGCTATTTAATTATAAGATCATATACAGAATGAGTAAATTTATTTAAAAAAAAATGGTATAGAAATTGCTGCTTCACATTTATTGTTTTTATGACTTTCTTCAGAATCAACAATAGCGTGAGAATTAAATTCAAAGTTTCATCCTGACAAGGAAACATTTAAATTCATATAATATGTTAGCTTTATAGTGATCAAAGAATTTGATCTTATAAATCTTGGTTATGTAATTTCATCAAGAGAAAAAAATGGTAAAGGCTTTGAAGATTCTCTTTCATTGAAAGGATCGGACAAGGTAATGATCTGATATTGTATTTTACATAATGTTAAGAACAAAATGTTGCATTTGACTTAAATTCGACTATGGGTGAAAAGATACACAAAAAAAAAAACAAATAGAAAGAAGCAATGTAACATAAAATAGGATTTACCATATAATATATTACAAGAGGAAAGCTTATCATTGAAATTTAGCAACGAATATCAAGTTGTTTGATGAACTATAGCAACCCTTTAACTATGAATCAAAAAATTTATCATTTTCTTGAGCCAAGTTACTTTCTCCCTCTGTTTTCTTGTGCCAACTATTGAACATTTTGTCGTATTCAATTTGGAGTTGATTATATTTGAGTTCTGTTCTTCTCAAGAGCTGTTTAAAGGAAAAGTTAGATGATTTTCGTAAATAGCTACTGATTGACTATATCATCATTGAAAAACTTGCCTCCCATTGATAATTGTCAAGGTAGTAATCTTGCAACATTGTTTCCAACATTTGGACACGATCCTCCAATGTCGCACCGTTATGCCGGTTCAATACTTTTTGTGATAAGATGATTCCTGAAGATGAGACATATCGTTTTGCTAGTTTTGTTTTTAAGCTTTTGTACAAAATGAGATTAGACAAGTCAATATTTCATTTAATTAATGGTTGATATTAATGATTTAGAATTACCTGCGTCTGCAAATTCTGCATCTTAGCACATATTTTTGAACAATACCCCTGTTAATGTATAAACGTTAGCTGGAACAATTCGTTAATGCATCATTTAGACAATTCACACATACCATGGAGATAATTTTGGCATTCCAAATAATAAAACATAAATTGAATTCAAAGCAACATAGAAACCACCAAGGTTGGCTATTGCACCTCCAACTTTGGTATTTTTTTTTAGAACATTTTTGGTGCAATACACAGACAGACAAAGGTATTAAAATTTTTAAAAAACTTACGTGTACGTTCATAACTTTCTGTCTCGTAAGTAAAATAATTAGATACTCTTACGCCAAATTGGATATTTCCTTCGTTGTTGGATTTTGGAAGGCTTTTAATGACGTGTTTTAAATAACAAGTGTCATCATATGATCTTAGACCCCAAGTGTAGCCCCAATAACTTGATTGATAGTTTCTTTTAATCGTTGGAATAATATCAATAATAGAACTATCTTTGAGTTCAAAGATAAAAATCGAGTCAGAACTAGCTTTATTATTGCAAGCAATGCCTAACTTATTCTCAGACGAAAAACGAGAATAAAAAATCGTCGCATTGCCAAAGATGACATATAACTGTTGATCTAAAATGTAGTGAATAGGGTTGTTTGGACTAAATTTCGTTGTTAAGGATAACAAACAAAAGTAACTTTCAAGAGAAATGTTGGTTGAAGATGATGTGGGATTTAAATTAATATCAAAAATTGGGATATCTTCCGGTATACGAGAATCAAAAGTAAGGTCATACGCTTTACAACCTTGAGGTACTATTTTACTGATATTTTTACATCTAGGTTTCGGACCACCATCATTACAGTCAATCTTCAATTGCTTGTTAGATGTGCAGAGGTAGGTTTCTATTGCTTTATTAATATTGATTTATTAAGCAAATATTGAAGTATCAAATTTTTGTGCTATATATTAGAAGTCTGGCATTCATACCTGTGATGGATTCATTGTTAGAGGGAGTTTTAGATACTTTAATACTGGTTTCTCCACTATATAATAATAGATCATTGATCAGCATGCCCGCGTAAAATAAAATTGAAACTGTCAGCCCAGTTGCAATACAAATACGGATATTTTTAAACCAGAAAGGCTCGGTAGTCTTGCCGTTAAAAATTGCATCGTAGAGAAACATTTTTGATGTACTAACTAATATTAATCTAGTAATTTTATTCACTTGGAAACTGCACTGCTTTTGATAATCTCTTTAGCCTATATAGTAAATGAATTGCTTAGGAGGAGTTATATGGAGTATACTTTTATAATAAATATATAATTTAAATGTCAAATATATTTTTGTTTATTAAAAATCTTAACAATGTTATATTGTTTTAAAAAAATTTTCTTGTTTGACTAATTAGAAAAAAATTTGTTCATTATTCGATGTAGAATATTCCTTTTTTTGAAGAACAGAAATTAGCGCAGGTTTTTTTTTGCTTCTCAATAATTAATGTAAATAAAAATACGAGTTTGATCTAGTAATTTATGATACAAATGCATGCAGATATTTCCAATAAAGGGAAACAAAAAGGTTTTCATCCTATCAAATTTTGCGCATTTTTTTATAACAGAAGTTTACGAATAAGTCTGTTAAAGCTTATTTGCATTTCATGCTTCATTTTGGTTTTTCTTCAAAATCGTCTTTTGCATGGCGTTTGCTCACGTTGACTTTTTTAATTTAGCTTATTGGAGAATTAAGCTTTTTAATATATCTAATACATTTGTGTTTTAGTCAGTCAGATCCAGATGAGTGGATTTCTGTCTTTATTTTGGTATCGATGGTGGGATTAATTGTCGTAGGTTATTTATTATTCTCTTAATATAACAATTAACAACTTTTCCAAACAAATAAATACAAATATTTTCTTTTAAAGCTTTTATCAAAAACTATATTACACGCCCTTGCCTTCTGGCTCTCAAACTTTATGCCTGTCATATTATCAGTTATGATCTATGTTGACAATACAGAAAATTCGTCATTTATTACTACAGGGAAAAAAATACGTCTTGTTTCAATTATAGTGTTTTCTATCCTTCAAGTTCTTTATGGTCTTTGTATTAGCATATTGTGGCAAAAAGGGTAAATGAAACCAATTATATGAAGTATTTATTGTTTTGTTTTATTGATATATATAAAAGCTAAATCATTTCAAATAGGTATTGGAGATTTCAAAGAAGATCAGAATACGGCTTTGATATTAATACAGAAGCAAGAAGTAAATGCATCAGAAATTTTATATTAAAAATGGATTTTTTCATAAAATACTTATTTATTCATCGTGTAGGCTTATTCTCTATGTACCAACGTGAATTGACTCTGTACCAACTTACGATTGTCTATATGCTTGCCAATATATTTTTATTCGTCATTGATGCTCGGTCGTTCTTTCTTAATACACTTTTTCTTCTGATTGCTTGCTTTCTTATTATCGGGGTATGAGCCATGCAAGAAATTCATTTGAATAATAAATCGCCTTAATTATTAACTCGGATTTCTTCCCCCCGAAAAGATTCAACAAGAATCTCAGTCTATTGTGTGCATCACACAATTGGCTATAGCTTGCTCAATTGGCTATCATTTAACCTTTTTGATTTACAAGTTTAAATTTCTTCATGACGACTATTACTATTACTATTACAATATTGTTTATTATTATCTTTCAGGCATGTTTTCCGGCACATAAAGACTGTGAATAAAATAATTTTCTTTCTGCCAAAGAGATTTACCGATCTCGTTTTTTTTCCACTTTAGCTTCCATCTGTGTGATTTTATGCACTTTATTGTTCCTACACACAATTAAATGTCAATGCAACTTTGGAAAAGGCTTGAAATTACTGCGTATGTTTTAAGGTTGTTCTTTACTTCATATTTCTTATTGTGTGATTATTCATTTTATCATTTCTTCATTTTAGTAAGTTATGAACCCAAGCCAAAAGAATATATTTATGATAATGACGAAGAGTTACTGGGCAAGGATGATGAGGAACTGTCAAAAAATTCCTGGGACAAGGAGGTCTTTTCACGAATATTGGACAAATTTTGTGGTGCATGCTTAGCATTCTGGAAAGCATTAGACTGAAATATGATGTGATTTATTAAATTGCAATATTTATTTAGATATCGTATTAGCAGCGTTTATTTAAAAATTCTCTTTTATCCATTATTTTAAAAATAAATTTTTTATGTATAGTGCATTAGTATATTAGTATTATTTTTATTATATTAACACCGTCGAAGGTTTTTTAAAATTTTCATTAGCTTTGTACAAATAAATTATTAAAAATTTTTTTCTTTTACAAATTAAAACTATAATATAAAATACAATTAACTATTACAATTATTATTAATATATAGTCTTCTTTCACTATTACAACAAAACAACATTTCATAAAATTGGTAAAATCAAAACGCGTTCGAATTGTTTTATATACGCATGAATTGTGTTGACTTAATATTTTTTCATTTTTGACTTTAAAGTTAATTACGCGTGTAATAGTAAATGCACAATAATATTAATAAAACACGCCTGAGCTGTCTTTAGTGTCTGGGTTTGAAACGCATATTTACAACTTTCTCATAATATATTATTAGTCGGTTTAGGTACAGGCTTTTGTGTAAGTTTTTTTTAGAGAACGAAGAAAAAAAAATAAACAAATTGCACTACACTATTACTTTTCACTTGAATTTTAAGATAATATATTTTTAATAAAGCAATACCTGCTCATATAATTTTATTAGAATAAAGTGAATACAATAATTCACAAAATAACTCCCAAATCATCTTATACGAGGTTATTCCTCTTGAAAATAATCAAAAAAAAAATATATATATTTAAATTTAACATTTCAGAAAAATAGATATGCCAAACAAAGTTTATGAAGTCTATCCAGTCTCAATTCAACTGCACCATAGATATTGTTGACTGATCCGGACGTTACCTAGGTAATAGGAAGTCAGATCTGGGATTAATGAAGTTATTTATTAACTAAGTGACAATTATTAGAATTAGAATTTGAAAGAGGTCTTGAAAACATTTATGCTATCTGATTAATTAATTAGCTGCTTTATTTTTAGGTTGATATTATTTTGTTTTAACCATAAGTTAAAAAGGCACATTGTGGAAGCCACACATTTTTATAATATAAGGTTATTAAATTGTAGGTATATTTATTTGTTTGAATGAAAATACCAATTTAGGAATATTATTCAAATAAAGTTACACAAATTAAAAATGTTTTCAAAAACTTTACCACTTGAAGTTTCAGCTGAAATTTTCAAATATATTGAAGATGATTATAAAGCATTATACTCTAGTATTCTTGTTAATAAACAATGGCATTATTTAAATATTCCAACTTTATGGAAAGATCCATTCCATTCTGTAAAAAGCATCAAAATTTTTATTAACTGTTTATTAATAGAAGACAAAGATTTTTTAACAAGAAATGGCTTTAAATTAAAGTATAAACTCTTGGATAAACCACCATTATACAATTATGCCAGATTTGTTACCAAATTGGATTTAAATAGGCTTCAAATAGGTTTATGTAAGTTGGTTGATCCTTTTTTTGATGATACATATAGAATTATGGAAGAAAGATTGGCAGACTTTATTTTAGATTATGCAACAGCTATCAGAGAACTTATTACTGCTTCTTCAAAACATGAGCAGTTGATTAATCATCGTAGATTCAATGATTGTTTTCGGAATCTTTATGAATTAGATTGTGTTTTTAGCAATGGCTCCAGTTTTTTTAATAAATTATTAATTACTTGTAAGAATATTCAATCATTTAAATTATACACTGACAATGATGATGGCGATGATGATGCAAATATTTTTAAAATAGCTCAACTAATTGAATCACAAAGTCAAGTTAAACATTTAACTATTGGTTCAGATGGTCATCTACCAAATATGATAAAAAAAGCAATAACAACACATTCACAATCAATTATAAGTTATACTAATGTTGATGTAGATAGTTTAAATTCTCCAATAATACCAACATTTCAAAATTTGAAATTATTATCATTAAATAATAATTATGAAATTATAAAATGTTTAAAATCATTTCCAAATCTTGAAGCTTTATGTTTAACAATTAGCCATCAATCATTTCTATTAGAGTTGGCAGAATTTATTAAAATCAATGGGAAAAATCTTAAAATATTATATATTGATGGATTTCCAGAGGATAAGGAACATTTAGGAGAATTTCTTCATACAATTGCACAATATTGTTTGAATCTTGAAAAATTAGCAATAATTTATAATAATGAATTAGATCAACATTTATTTGAAATATTTAATAATTGCATCAAATTAAAAGAAATTTCATTTAAAAAAATTCCACTTGATAATTATTGCAAATCATTAGATGTGGATATAATTTTGAGAGTATTAAATCAAACATTACCAAAGAAATTAAAGAAATTATGTTTTTTGTGTGAAATTGCTATTTATGATGATAGTTCATTAAATATTTTAATGAAGAATTGGAAAGGACTTAAACCTTTTATAATAGAATCACATGAAAATTATAATTTTTTGGAAAAGAAGCAACTAGAAGATATATTAAGAAAACATCAAGATTTAGGATATTTAAATCATGAATATACAGTTACGAAGTATTACTATCAATTATTGTAATTATTTATCATATGTTTATACTATTTTTTTTTTTTACTCCTAATGAAATTTCTTTACATTGAGGGTGTTTTTTTTCTTTGGATCATTAATAAATTACTGATTTATATATAGCGCTCACACATTTACTTAAAATGTTAATTATGTTTAATAAAATAATTCCAAATTTTTTTTAAAAAACAACATACTCTCAAAAATGTCAACTAGTTTTTCATGTTTAGAAATATTAAGGCATTATTTAATAAACCTTATCAATTCTAACGGAAATACATTACCATCAACAAAACTTGTAGATGATTTATGAGAATTGTTAAATGGATAAGATTTTTGTGATGTAGAGACAATGAAAATTTTTTAAACCTCATGCATCTATTTTAAAAGCAAAATTTTTATATTTTAAGGCAGCTTTATCAAATAAATTGGCTAGAAAATTTGAAATTCTTTAATGTAAGAATTATTTATTTATTTTGTTTTTTAATAATATTAAATAATTACTGCTTAATTGTTTAAAAAGATACATTTGCAACAGAATCGTTAACATTGATAATTTAAAATCTTTGAAGTATAGATGTGATGCCATTTTTGAATAGCCATAGCTTTACATAAATAGTTCCTTTTGATATAAAAAAATATTCATTAGAAAGTTTTAATGGTGTAGTTTTAATTTGCTTTAATAACGAAGCTTGTAGACTGTTTGTTATACATGTCAATTTTTTATTTTTATATATGGGCCGCACTAAGAAAACTACCTCTCTTAGTAGTTGAACAAAATTAATTAAATTAAAATAGGTTGATTTATATATTTTTTCGTGTTCATTCTTATAAAAAATATTGAGAAGCCCAAGCTATTGTCAAAGCTACTTGTTTTCAAAGATATTTTAGACTGGAAACCTTAGTCCTGCAGGCACTAAATGCTGTAAATAAATCAACCTGTAACATGTGTTCAAAAAGCCCCACAAGTAAATATTATTTTAGATTTTTGAATGTATAATTTTGTTACAAGCAGTTCATTTTAATCTTTTTCTTATAATATGAAAAATAATCGTGTATATTCACCTTTTTAACATTTTTTCTATGATACATGTATGAGTATTTAACAATAAATAGGGCGTTGATATTATCATTGCTTATTGACTAATCACGCATAAGAATCTTTAGTCTACTATTATCCCATATTATTATTAAATCATATTTACTTTGGATATATTAATATGGTGAAAAACGGACCCGGACACTTTACCGACAACACGCGACGTGATATTTTAGCATTTTGTTAGTTTGTTTGATTGTGTAGAGATTAAATGTAACCCCGCGTGTTGTCGGTAAAATGTCTTGTCGGTAAAGTGGGTGTCGGTAAAGTGTCCCAGACCCATTTTTTGACTTGTCTATCTTTGCATGCTTTTTGAATGCACCAGATTTATTTTTTTGATTAAAAAAAATTTATCTATAGTAAAATTCAATTGCTCACTCCACCCTTAAATAATTTTGCTAAATAATATATAAACCAAAATATTTTGCTTTTATACATAATAGAGCATTTGCTATTAATCAATTAACTAGTTTTATAAAAAAAAGAGGTCGCAATCAAGTTAACTAACCTGGTGAGAGTTATTCCACGACTATTAATCAGGAAACATTAGAAACCCCCTTTTTTTTTTGAAACTTAGACTACAGATTGATATAATGAATATTATTTTAGAATAAATAATTGATTTGTAAAATTCTATCCACAAAATAGATAATATAAATGAAGAAATATGGATTCTAGATCAGCACAAAAGAATTTTAAATCATGTACAAACCTATTTTCTATATTAATATTACAAATGTATATGCATAAATAACTTTATAATGTAGTGGTACAGTTGGTACAGTCTTGGATTCCATAAAATTGCACTGGCAATTTTTTTATCATATATTCTAAATATAATTGATTATAATTCTTTCTTCATGGATTAATGATATGTTTATTGGCATAACAAACAATTGCATCACCTGAGTAATAATAATACCAAGGCCATGCAAAAATTAAAACTTTTAATGTGTGACTACCCAAATTTCTAGGGTTCATCGATAAATAAATAATTGGTCATATCTTCCCTTGGGTCAGTTTTGACAAGGTGTTATCAGGAAAGATCAAAAATTAATTTTCCCTTTCCAATTTTAAAGTCATGAATAAATCTGATGATATTAATCACAAGTGTCAGATTTAATAAATTTTCTTATATCAAACATGCAACATTCATGCGAATGCATGCGCCCATAACCATGAAATGTTTACCATGGTTGAACCTATGTGCATGTGAAGGCTTTGGACAAGATGCTTTGGTCAGTGTTGACACTGATTTAATTACTTTATCACACAAACGTAGGGGATCCAGAGAGTTTGTAGTCTGTAAACCCAAGAATCAGTCTTTTTGAGAAGTCATCTTATTGACTTGGGTACAGTAGTTTGCTAGTAATTTTTAAATTGGTCATTTTGTCAACACTGGCTTTAAGCAATATCTTTGACAATGATTCAATTTAATCAATAATCTTCAGAGCTATCATGCTCCCCCCCTAATAGTTTATTCATATCATCATATCATCGGGAAGTTCAAGTCAGATTAGCCTTATATGATATAGGAACCAAAAGAATGATTGAAATATTACAACCAAACACAAATGTTGAGGGTCAGGTTGTTCGTGTTTCCAAATCACCCAAGTGCGTACCATTTTCCATATGTGAGAGTGAGATCGTGATGTTTACTCGCCTCTGATATTTCTTATTATTATGATTGATGTTAATAATATTAATGATGATAATAATGAAAAAGCCCATCAATCATTTATATCATGGTAAATAATTAACTTTGCTATATAAGACACAACTTTTGCTCCGCATTCTGATGTTGATGTTTAGGCTATTGTAAATAAAATAGAGTCAATAAATATGAAACAATAAACTGGTAAAAAACGTGTCTTTAAAAGCATACCAAATGTTGTTGTTTTTTTTTTTGAAAAAAAATGATGCGTAGTGTCAAAAGGTATAGCGTTGCACAAGTTCGTCATCAGTTCCAATCAGTTATATATAAAAAAAAATCAATAATATTTTATATCACACAAATCTAGATCAAAATATACGTGTCATGTTTAGCATGTTTAGATTATTAATTTGGGAAAAATTTCATGCAATTTTTATATATATACACGTATGAGGAAACTCTGAATGTTTTTGAAAATTTAAAGAAAATACCTCATGCAACGTGATAAATAGTTAGATATAGGAGTGGTATTATCTTGATGACTTTATTTCTAATTGATTCTTATACCATTAATGCAAAGAGTTTTTCATTATAAATTATTGAAGACAATCTTTGTGATTATTCAACATATGCGCGTGCGTGTATATATATTTCTATTTGCAGTTTTTCTTTACGTTGCTAGTATTATTAGACAAATTTTATTTTATTTGAAAATAATGACCAAAATTTAATACTGATAATGAAAGCAACACCATGTCAATGTTAACATCAACAATGTCATGGTTATCATTTCAAATAATGATTCACTAAAAATTTGCAAGCATCGCAGAGTCTACACAGGTTCTGTATTCCGTATAACTGTGCCTCTGCAGTAAATCATGCTCTGTATGGAACAAAATATGGAATCAAAGATCGTACAGACTGGCCGCCCACCAATCAACTTTTCAAAATTCACAAATTCCATACAAAAATTGAAAAATAAAAAGTGTACGGAACAAAAATAAATAGTGTATGGAATTGAAAGTTGTACGGAATCTCTACAGAATGCATCGCAGAACTCCAATCATTATATTTAATGTCAAACTCTTCATCATCTTCAAAGGATCATCAACTTTAGCTGGTGTCGATTTAAATAATATTTCCAATTGATTGCATCTGGTAAGCAAATATAATGGAGTTAATCTATATTATGGACACACTTTAGTGGATCAGTATAGAGGTGCGTGCTTAATTGATAATGAATGTAATCATGTTGGAAGAATGTGTCTTAGAAAACCTAGAACGTCTCCACAGAAATAATTTCATCGTCCTGAGAAAGTTTTGTTAATTTTAGTATCTTTTATTTTTTTTTTTAATATTTAAATAATGGTATAAATACAGACCTCAGTAAACAACCAGTGACTGAAGAAATGACTCATTGTTTTGTTTTCACCAAACCGACAGCGATTGAGCCGTTCAATTGTTAATTTAAAAAGGCAGGCATTAAAAAGGATTTTGTACTTGCAAGCGATTTTGACATTAAAGTAATTTTTTATTGCCATTGACAATAATGAACTTAATAAAATTCAGAGTATGTATTCATCTTTTTGATATTAAATGAACAATGAATTTGCTCTTTGTGTTTATTATATAGTCATTTTAGAAATCAGTTCATAGTAATTTGGGAAAAGTTGAAGCTGTGTTGGTTGTATTCATGGACGAAGTTGAGTCAAGGTGACAATAGTTCCAGAATCAAATGAATTAAAGTGGATTCTTAAATTTTTAATTGGTAAAGAATTTAATATTATATTAAGATTCTTGTTTGTTAATATTCTTAATATTAATAATGATAACAGGTGGAAGGTAATATAATTTACAGTTGCACGATTCAATGATGATTGGATTATTGAAAATGATGCCTATTCAATAACTCCTTCAACGGCGCAGTACAATTTGTTCAAAGATGCACAAGAAGTGAGATGTAGAATCATTTCACAGTTGTGGATGGAAAGCCAAATGTAATTATTGCACTATGTAGATATTTTTTTGGCTTTCAAAACCATCTATTTTTTTAACAGTTGAAATTTATGTTTCACATGAGGGCTTTTCTTTGCAAAAGATCTTTTATTAAATTTATAAATTCGTGTAATTTTTTAAATAAATTTTTTGCTCAACACAATGAATAAAATAAATATATTGATATAATAATAATATGACTGGCTAATGTTGATGCCCTGAACAAATATATGGATGCCTCGCTTTTGAATTTAACGTGTAAAGCTAAATCATACATAGAACGCCATTTCGGCGCTGTGTTCCTCGACTTTCGAATTCGAATGCAATGTAAAAAGAAAAACCAATGCACCGATTTTTTGGTCCACGAGTGGGAAGCAGGTCTATTATTAGAAATAACCTATTTTTATTAAACATGGCATCATTGATCATGAATACATGATAGGATGCTAATATAATTTGCATCCAGTGCTAATTTTGATGCTCCGAACAAATGTATATGCATGTGATCGAGTCGTGTGATTTTATAATATTATGACTCCAGAATATCATCGCATCATAATAATAATGCTAATCTGTATTTCACGAAACTCAATTATTTTCTTTGCGGAGGTGTAACAAACAATTTATTTTTACATTTTTTATAGTAATAGTTTATTTGATTGCCTTTAAGTTTTTCTTTATTGATAAGGATGTAAATTGAAAAGTGAAAATTTCATTATTTTCATCTTCACCAATAAAAGAATTTCAGCATTCTTTGAAGATTTAATTCATGGTCCATCAATGAAGGATCTACATAGTAAAATTCCGGGATAAGCATCATATAGTGCAAGTCACTTAGTCGCTGAACTTTTTATTGGCTGTGTAGATCCTATATCCTCTCCAAAAATAGAAATGTATGACCAAAAAAACAAATCATAGAATTAAAGCTAAGACCTTTCTCTACAATTCTATGATTTCATTTTGTT